TTTGTTGTGCTACCATGGTGATCACGTTGCCTCTCGCACAACTGCCTGTTAAATTAAAGATCATGATTTCAGCAAACCAGCAACGTCAGACTGTCTTTCGATATACTTCTTTGAAATCAAATAACAATGGTGTTGTTCAACGTGTAACAGCCGTTTTAGGCTGTCTCTCGTAAGCTCATTCTGTCATCGATTTAACTTCAAAACCAACTTTACCGTCCAAATTATGGTTAGCGATACATGCATGGGTGTACCGGTGACACTACTGATGAAACGTAGTGTGTGTTGTTTGTGGAATTTCGCTTTGCGTCTCTTGAAGAGGGAGATTTGTTGCGGAATTTGTGGAGTCGCTTTGTAACACATTTGCTTGGATTTGAGCGATGAATGATTGGAGGCAATGAATATCCAGGAAAGTTCAAGAAGACGAATGCTGTAATACGATTCCACTAATTCCCTAATAAATCTCACTTTTCAATAGACGCGAAGCGTAGTTTGGAGAAAACCGCATACTACTCGCGTGCCTAATTAGTAGTATGCACCATTGCAGTGATAGTGGGCTATCGGAATGCCTTCACCAACCTATTTGATTGTGGGTGATTACCACCAAAAAGACAGTGAAAGGCAATTGATTTGTTGTGCAGCATTAAGTTAGGTAGACTACAACCGGGCTGTCTTCCACGAAATTCCATAACGGTGACCCACCAGTGTTTACGAGTAAATAATCAAGTGACAGGAACCAAAAAGCAAAACGTTATGCGAATAAAACGGAGTTATCAAGTAGTTTAGTCAACAAATCAAAGTATTCAGGTCTAATCACTAAGCCGGAAGTACCAGTGTAACGGTGATACTCCCGATGGAAGGCATGTGAGTAGCATGTTTTCTTCTTGTAACTTCGCTTTGCGTCTCTTGAAAGATGGAGATCTGTTGCGGAATTTGTGGAGTCGCTTCGGAACATTTGCTTGCATTTGAGCGATGAATGATTGGAGTCAACGAATATCCAGGAAAACTGAAGAAAACGCGTTCAGGAGAAGATGGATGTTCAGTTTTTTTAAATGGGCTGCAAATGAGAGTTTTGCTTCCCTGTCCAATAGTCTGTAACCGATCAGTTAGCATTTTCTAATAAACAACTCCGCAGCAAAGCCCATTTGGACTGTTCACCGCAAAAGATACTATCCATTTTAGAGATTTTTTCTTATACGCACAATTCTCTCATCAGGTCTACCGCTTGTGCCCATCCAGGTGCGATATCCCCGGCAACATCTGTTTATAATTTAATCAACGCGCACATGAATAAAAACACTCTGGTGATGCTAAACTGATGCTGTCTAAGAAAGCGGATGAGGTAACACACCTTCTAACCAAGCGACAACTTTCGGTTTTCCTAATCGGTTTGCTTCCACACGGCGAATAAAAACTAGACGCCTTGAGCGCACAGATGGTTGCCAGTAATCTGGAAAGTTTATGCCTAACAGCAATTTTATCTGTTTCGGTCAAACTGACTCTTAACACTGATCGTGTAAGCAGACCGGAAGGATTTTTCCTCTCTTGGAATCGTGAAAGGGACTTGTAGAATCCGCATGTGAAGATATGAACTAAAATAATTCACATTTTGGTTTTACAAAAACACATTATTTCCCATGAGAGCTTCATTTTCTTGGATCTCGTTTATACTTAGTGCACCTCACGCACAATCACTAACCCACCGCAACGCAACACTACGCTCCCCAAAAACGCACTGATGATGTCACCTCGATTAGTGATGAAACGTTTGCAGTCGAATAGCCCAGTCCAGTGAACAAGCCAATGACAATTTTTTTGTAAGTCTTTTTGTAAGTCTCTGGTTAGCATATTTGCATGGACAGACTTTTTCAGAGAATGAATGAGTCGATCCTGTTTGTCACACTTTGTACAAAAATGCATATTTGCTGTTCCCCTTAGATAAGCACGTGGCGTTTGTATTTCAGAGTACGTGCGCTCTTTGAATGTGACACACTAGTTCACTAAATGTGGAGGCAGTTAACACGTGTGACCGCGTGATGTGGATCCCGTGATTGAAGGATGAGCGGCGCTATATACCGTCTAAGTGCTGATCAGCCACCCGTGACCGAAAAGTTAAGTGTTCAAACTACTAGCCGGGAGGTCGCGGGTTCGAGACTCTTCGGAGTTTCGTGAGATGCGCACTGCTGATGATTCTCAATAAGGATGAAACACAACTGTACGGTGCTTCTCGGTTTTTCGAAACAGATTGGCTTCACTTACAGGACAAAATCTCCACAAAAATATCCCAAATCTCCTCACACCATCATCATTTTACTAAGTGTCTCTTTTTAACCGTTTGTGACGGTTCACCTCAGTTACGTGCCTTGCGACGTGATAGGATTTGAGTTGGCTTTTCAACCTGGCGTACAACGCAAATTCACGCCATTCCACAACCCGGGCATTTTTATCCAGAGTCATACTGAAGTAAGAAGCCCAACGGAAGACATAAAACCCATGTAGATTGTCGATCACCCCAATGAGCTGATACCTTGACGGGATGCATCATCTAGATAGCCTCATTAGCATCGTTTCCGAACTAATTCTGTGAAGTCTGTGGGCCATAACTATCCTGGAAACCGAAGTTTCAATTTTTTGCTCTGCGAGACTGTATTCCGTGGACAATGCACCAAGTACACTATCGGCTTAGTCGAGCAGTCTCGCGACGTTGTTCGAGAATAAGGAATTATTATATCTTCCACGTATCATGAGGCGAGAGGTTGAACTCTTTTTGTCTCCTCTACGTGATCAGAGCCGGGTTCCTAGCCGTCACACAGTCGGGCAGTTACTGCATGCTACAAGAATAGATTCCCAGTAACCCTTGTTGAGGCGACTAATCAAAATCGACAAATTCTACCACAGTACGCTCCCGAGTACTCCCGAGTCTAGCGTGACTTGGTGAAATTAGTAGTTCGTGCATTCCAAAATGGAATGAACAGCGTGTGCTTTGAATGGACAGACTGAGCGAAAAGTCAGTCGCATTAATATGGACAGTGGCGTCACTTTGAAATGCAAATTAACCGGAAACTAGCCCTGGGAATATTTCGAGCGGCGAACAAAAACCCCGGGAAACTTCAGACAAAAGAGACTAGCGAATGGATTTCGATCGCTAAGGGTGTCGCCAAGCCATACGTCTCGTGGCGTTATATGTACTTCATAGGCACGCAAAGATCCACGCTCCGAGAGTTCTTCAAAGTGTCTGAAGGCTTTTGCTAAAATGTTCTGACCTATTTTGTGGAGATTTCATCCTGTAAGTAAAGCCAATCTATGCTGAAAAGCCGAGAAGCACTGTACAGCTGTGTTTCATCCTTATTGGAAATCATCAGCAGTGCGCATATCACGAAACTCCGAAGAGTCTCGAGCGTGCAACCTCCCGGCTAGTAGTTTGAACACTTAACCGTTCGGCCACGAGTGGCTGATCAGCAGTGTGATTAACTCGCACTTAGACAGGATATAGCGCCGCTCATCCTTCAATCACGGGATCCACATCACGCGGTCACACGTGTTGACTGGCTCCTCGAGCAACGACTTCTCAGATAGAAGTTTCACTCATCGGGTGAAGTTTATTCTTCCACTGAGCTGCTTATAGATTGTTGGTAGCGTGAGGAGATTTGGGATTTTTGTGGAGATTTCACCCTATAAGTGAAGCCAATCTATGCTTACCTCTGTTTAGTGCTTACGCATTATAACCGCACTCGGTGTGGCGGTGGTGCCTCAAAAAAAACCAGCATCGGAGGGACTTCAGAAACCACTGATACATATTCGCGTTACACTGGTATCAGCATGGCTAGGTTTTAGCCAAATAAACATGGATGATGAGCTCCCACATTTAAGCTTGAGAGGCACTCTGTTAGGCTTTCAGGATGCGTTCTCATGATTGATAGCAGAGTGTTGTGTGCCCCAAACTGCTCGCAAACTGCTTGCTACTAAGTGCCTCACACGCTTTTCCATTGACTGCCGTTAACAGTGTGGATGGGTTTATTCGAACACCTGGTATTTCAATGCCGTCATGATGGGTGGTTTGCTAGTTTACTGATCAGTCATTAATTTTTGGGTTTCTGATCATCTTTCCTGCAGTCGGGTTGAACACAACAACGTAGTCCGATACACGAGTGACTAGTTATAAACCGGAGACCTAACATCATATAAAGAAATATTTAATGAAACTGAGCGACTTCAACAAGAAGATTTTTCAAAGCAATAAACTTTTGCAAAGGCCTCCTAGTGTTGGAGGGAAATTCTCTGAGGAGGGAGAAGACAAGAGCTATTTTCAGAACTGTTGGTGACTGATCAACACACCCACATTCGTCCAAATGCATCTAGACTTCTTCAACTAGCGGCTTGGAATTCTGTACCGCAATGTCAGACTCTAGAAACAAATTTGATCTAGCTATTATACTATACTACTTGCAGGCACATTGAAACCGCAATTCACTGGGTATGTGACAGTGATATTTCACCTTGGTACTCCGGATACAAAATGTATATGAGGTGAGGACAATGTGACAGCAAACAAGTTTTGTTTTATGTGGTGGCTACAAGTGCTCTGAATTATTCGAAGGATATTGAGCAGGCATCTCCGAATCCAGCGTCTTCTGCCTCCAGAAAATTTGAACACCTTGCATAAGACTAATTGTTGTGGACCACAGTCCCCCTAATGCCTTCTAATTATCGTGAACCCCGTTCCAGATAGCCGATTGATAGCGTGGTGCGCTTGGCCAAACCAGAAAAAATCAATGAACGTGCAAACCGGCTGATCTATTGATCACTGTCGTGTACAAGCGGGTCAAAAAAGTGATACTAAGAATACAACTCATCTGTCAAGTACGAGTGAAGAACAACCAATGAAATCGGTCTCAACGAAAAACGATTATTCCATTGGCTATCATATAGTTCCGCTACGTTCGGAGCCGGTTCTCCTAATATCTTCCCTTTGAAGTGCAGTAGTATAAGTCTTCTGTCACGGATTAACTTGATTCTTTGTCACTGGCATTCTCCTGTATGCCGTCCTTCGTGATTATTGGTACACAGGAGCTTCTGGTGTAAAGGTGATACTACTGATGGGGAGGCATGCGAGTAGTATGTTTTCTTCTTGTAACTTCGCTTTG